GCAGCTGGTGGTGGAGCAGTAGGAGAAGTAGAGGAACAAGCAGGAAGTAGATCTTCGACTTCGCTAGTACTCGATGCCTCCTCTTCCTGTCTCTTCTCTGGCACTGCAGTCGACAGCTCCACGACGTTGAGCACAGCTGCCTTCCTCCAGCGCGTAAGGGAAAAATACGTGCTATCTGGGGATGCAAAGAAAGCCAAAGGAAAGAACAGCTCTTTAGTGATGTCCAAAGCCTCGTCTCTATCGCTTGACACGATGATTGCTTCGAGGGATCCACCGCGTGTCACCATCCGGGAAGCATTGTTATGTTGATGCTTGTCGTTGTTTGCTTCCACTTATTTACACGCGCCATCAAGGGTCGTGCTTGTGTCTTCATCTTCATGGTGCAACGGACTCATTATTGTCCGTGTACGACATTGATTTTTTTTTCCAATCCACATTCGAAGAACTACACTAAACACGTGCTCAGGGATGTGTCTAACCTTAGAGCGTGGCATCTGCAGAGAACGGCAGAAGCAAGCGCTCTTGCATGGTCGCGTGGAACCTCATCCAGACCTCAAGAGCCTGACCATCTTGAACCTGTATCAATCCGGTTTGAAAGTTCTGAGTCCGGATTGCTTTGTAAATTTGACCAATCTCAAGACCTTGATTCTGGCAAGGAACCAGTTCCAGCATGAGGGCGACTTGGCAGGCTGTGCGAGCGTCGAAAACCTAGATTTGAGTTTCAATCTGCTGAAGAAGCGGGCGTTTTCGGTACCTGGGATTGGAAACGACACTACATCATCCTCTCGACAGCTCAGCTTGATAACAGGAATAGAATCGTCGTCCAAGTCTTCGGATGCAGGTCTCTCAAGGTTAGGGTCAGGAGGTAGAAACCGCGGCGTCGACCGCACAGCTGGTGCTCCTGCAGTGTTGGCAGAGCTGTTTCCGAGTTGTGTGCGGATAGATTTGGCAGGCAATACAGAGCTTTCTCTGACGGATCTCTGTAATAACAGTCGTGGCAGCATAGGATCTACGGTGCGACAGGTTTTCATCGACATTTCTTCCGAAGCATTTGTAGGACCACCTGGTGGAAGAACAACAACGACAGCAGCTTCATCTTCTTACATCAGTTCTTCTATGTTGAACAACAAGATATCGAGTCATAAGGCGACAACAGACTCCCTGGAAGAAGAACAAAACACTCCACATCTGCGACCTCTAGAGGTAGCGCGTTTTTTTGCGCTCTTCCCTAGAGTAAGAGCAGTGAACGGGTACTCACGCTTAGAGTCGGATCCTGATGTTCTGGACGCTCTGAGAACGCGAATGGACGCGCTAAAGCTACTAGCGGAAGAAGGGAAGAGCCAAGACGAGTTGGGTATCGAGGTGTTGGGGAGCGCTGCTGGAACGATGAGCAAGCTCGCAACGACGCCGACGATCGCTGCTGTAGCACGGACGCCAACCACTGGAGTTTCAGGGTCTATTTTGGCTCCCGGAAGTGCTTGCTGCAGCCCTCTACGAAGGAAATCGCCTGAAAAAAATCTTGCCGATGTTGAACGCTCCTTGACCGACAGCAGGATAACAGTTGACACAACAACCAGCAAACTGGACATTACTGGAGTCTTCTTATCGACGTCGAGTACATCTTTTTCTTCTGGGACAAATGGGAGTTCTGCGAATGAAAATTTTTCAAGTGCATCGACAGGGGGACCAAGTACTGGAGGACCACTAATAAATCAAAACGCAACCCCAAACGCTTCACCGGATGATGGTGAGGAAGACGCGACGACGACTGCGGCTCTGCAGGTCTACCTCGACTGGCTCTTGTTCGGTCCCGGTAGTGTCCCTAGTAGCAGTATGAGCGCCACGATTATGCGAAGTATTGCTATGAATTCGATTTCAGGAGGCGCAGCTAGTGGGCTTGGTGGCGCTGGTGGGACTACTGGGCCTGGAGGTATAGTGGGTAACAACGCCGGTTCCGGTACTGGTACAACAGGAGCTGGGACGACTGGAAGTGGCGTCGGAGGGTCTACTTCTTCGAGTTCTTCGTCTCCGCTAACGAAGGGGCGACGTTCTCCGAACAAGATGCACCATAGTTGTACAAGCGGAGTGAATCAGTCTACTTCTAGTCTAGCAGCCCTCGTGACTTCGCAGCAAACTATCGCCTCAGTGTCCACTAGTTGCGCAACTGCAGCTCTAGGAGAGGCTTTAAACTTATGAGTGTAGGAAATGCATCTCCAAAGTCATGTGGACGAAGAAAATAAGAAGGAAAAGGGGCCCAGATCATTTGTGTGATGCATTCCCTATACCTCATCTAATAGACGCATGCGTAGAGGCGCACGAAGCAGGAAGCACAGGCTCTGGATTTTCGGATCATAATGGAAACAAGCAAACCCTTATTTCTGCGTCAAACCCACCGCCTTCCATCGACTCTCTTTTGAAGAGGCCGCATGCTTATTTCTTTCTCGGTCTACGAGAACTCTCGTTAGCAGGTCTTAGCGGATTAGGCGGTGGAAGGTATGGAACAAGCACAAGCAATAGTGCCAGTGGTTCTAGTTCGGCATTGCTATTAACAAGTCTGAAAACGCTTGGGCAACTCGCTGCACCCCACCTGCTGGAAATTCTAGATGTGTCGCGCAATGCCCTTACCTCGTTTGCTGGTGTAGAAGCATTTCCGAACCTGAAGCGACTAGACGCGACGTCGAATTTCATCGTGGATCCTCATCACGTATCGGCCTGTGCGAGTCTAGAAGTCCTAGTTTTGTCAGACAACCGAGTAGATCACTTAGAATGGCTAAACTCGAAATTAGTGACGCCGCCACCCTATCGGATTATTGCGCCAGCATGTGCAGAAAATAGTGGTCGCGTGGAAGGGACGAACAACTACCACAATGTGACTAGCCACGGTCTTCACGGTGCTGGTCGCCAACACCATCAAGCAGGTCAACCTTTTGCACCAAGCTCCTCCCCACATGGCTCAGATAGAGAACAAGAGGACGCTTCTGATACGACAGCTAATAATAGTGCGCAACAGCAGCAAGGCCTTTCTCCGGTTTTACGTCGGAACAGTACGTCTTCCGCTTTACAGCTTCTACCAAACAATTCGTCAGCGGCCTCTGGTGCGCTTTCAGCCTCTGCTCTGTCCCCACCTCCATTTGTCGTTTCTTCAGGAGACCACCTCCAGCATGCTCATCATGACAGCACGATAGCTAGTACTTCATCTTCTTCCATCAGTGGTACTGGAGCTACAAGTTTTTCTACAACTTCTTCATCCAGTTCATCCTCGTACCAGCAAGTGCCCAATGTGGGTAACCTTGGGACCTGTCTTCGTGCCCTCTACCTTGGTGGAAACTTGTTGACTGACCTTCGCGGATTGTACGTGTTGCAAGCCAGGTGTCCGCGGCTAGCTATTTTAGAGCTACGCGGCAACCCTATGGCCGTTAACAGCGACTACGCAAGGGACTGTCTCGACGTTGCTTTCCCGGTGTCAGAACTCTGCGCAAGATTAAGGCTTCTGCCCCTAATGGTCCATCTTTTTGGTCAAAGACATCGATCCTGAAGAGTCTCCCGTAAATAATGGTCCATCTTCAGAGAAGTCATCCTAGCCCTAGGAAGGAGAGAGTCTGTTTTTCAAGGGGAAAAGCACCCATCTCCAGGATGTACCATGTCAAGATGGAAGATTAGGGTGAGCTCTAAGGCGACTGGAATTCATCGAGAACTCAAATTCTTCGTTGTCGGCGTCCAGACCACCAGGAGGAGACCGAGATGAGACTTTCTACCAGGACTCAGAAGGTGAGCCAGAAGATGCGGATGAAGATGCTCAGGTAGTAGAGGGCTACGATACTTTCAGTTCTGAGACTGAGGGTGAAGATGATGAGGCTGGCGCAAGACAAGAAGGAAGAGCAGGAGACGAGGAGAACAAAAAGAAAACCAGAATAAGTAAGGCGCGAGTTCCTCGTTCTTCACGGAGTACCATAATCTTTCAAGAAAAAGAAGATTTTTGTACTTTCTGAGTATTGATGTTCTCTTCTCTACTCCCTCTCGTCCCGCTTCACTAAAATCTTCAATTCTTGTTTCTGTTTCAGTTTTTACTTGTTGTTGGAAGTTTCTCTTTCTTTTTCACGTGGAGAATTTAAAGAACACGGACTGCTCGACCACGCACGTGAGTATCTCCACTCTAACACCAAGCGCAAGGCGAGACTCGATACGCGAGCAAAGCACACTGACGAGCAGATGGCAGAGTTGCGAAAAGTAACCGCTGCCTGTGTCAAACCTATTGTTAAGGCTAGGTCTTCACTATCCTACGAGTGTGGACTACGCTGAGTGAAATACCCCTCAATTATTACATCCCTTTTCCCTCACTATCGTCGTAGGCTCTTTTCCTAGTAGAAAAGAAGCCAGCACCAGGGATCTTCTGAGGAACTTAATTCCGTAATCTCTAATACTGGTCGCGAGGATGTTGTCTCAAAGATTGGGAAGGGTTTTGACTACAATAGTACTACGGGACGGAGTGGCGGAACATCAATGGGGGATGATAGCAAGGCTCTAGTATCTGACTCATCTGGTGCAGATGGTGATGGAGCTGGTTGGAGAAGTACTAGTAGCACGATGTTCGATCCTCAGGACATCGTCAAGTCTTCTGAACAAGATAACAGTAGTGCTGCTACTAGAAGAACTGGCACAAGAACTACAGGCACAGATCAACATAGAAGAAGTCAAGGTGATAATGTGTCCTCCTCGGCCGGAGCTGCGGCGTCTGGTGGTGCAGAAGTCCGCATACTTCTTGCCGGACAGAGTCAGTCGACATATTTCCCCGCGACGTGTCCAGGTAACGGGTCGAGTAATGCCAGCTGTTTTAATGCTGCTGGAAGGAGCAATCAAGAATTCCACACACTAGTCGGATCACAACAGCAACTACCGCAGCAACTACCACATCAAGATGCTTGGTCAACATCGGCTGTGAATAGAAGTAGTTGTTATAGTACTTCGTGGACATCTAGTACTAGTTCAACGACAAGACCAGATGGAACACTAGATCCGGCTCAAGGTGCAAGGCACGTACAATTAGCACGAGTGCTGCGTCTCTACACTGTGTATTTGATGCGTGACCGACTACAGTACTTGGACGGAGTGGCCGTCGCGAACGTTATGCTCCATCTCAGGCTTTGATCTTGATTCTTTTTTAGGTGAGCACTCTTCTTCAAAACGTCGTGATGTCTTAGCTTCTTCGGTTTGTTTCCTTCTATTAATTTTGCCTACTTGATTCCTGAATGTCGTTTAGGCATAGGCTTCGCAGCTTTCTTGACATTTCCAAGCCCAAAAGAAGAAAAAAGTGGGTGTGCCCAAAAAATTATAGTTCTCGAACTTCTGGAGAGAGACGCTTCTAAATAAGAGGACGTGTACAGTGCTTGGCGTTTGTTTCGAGGAACGCTGACCCCAGACTTCGTGCAACGAAAATTTGCCGCTTTCCACACTTCTCTACGTTCTCTACAGAAAGTCGATCTGCGAAACTCGAAGTTGACCAGTCTGGGAAGGGCGATTCTCAGCGACAGATATTTTCCAGTGTTGAGGTTAAGGGTAGTATTTAGTGATTGATCACTTCAGAATCACGACGTGTAGAACCACGGCTGTGAAGAGAGACCATGAAGTAAACTGAAAGATCACGTTCAGGCTCACGACTGATACTGATTTGTATCTGATTCTAATACAGCTAATAAATGTAAGAGTAACTAGTACTAGAAGAAGAAGGAGGAGCGAAACAGTACAATGAGTGTTCAAGTTCATGCCCAAGCTCAGCTTCAGCTTGATCATGTTTCGATGATGAAATGAAGCCACTAAATACAGTTGAATGCTGAACCCCACCACTTCTAATGTGGATATTGTGTCTAGACCAAAACCTCTTGCGGCGAGGCGAGATAGGACCTCTGGGTAAACTCAAGACCTTGAAAATGAACCGAATGAACCTCGGAGAATTGAAGCGATTAGCAATCCAGGACTCTAGTGCCACTGCAGGAGCACAGCAGAGTCTTGTTGCTTCAGGAGGTGGAGCAGGCTCAACTGTCACTGTGGCAAATGGAGGCGGTTCCAACTCAGTCTCAATGTCTTCCTCCTCCAATGCCAGTACAACTTCTTCCAGTTCCAATACTACTAGCGGTTACAAGCCCTTGGCTCGGTCCACTTCGCATGCGGCCAAGAGTCAAAATGTTGGTGGAAGCTCCTCGTCGAAGCACAGCATTCTTATTCATCCTTTGCCCGGTCTACAGCACCTAGAACTCTCTTCGAACAACATCCGTTCTCTGACGCCACTATTGGAATTGTCGCGGCGTGTCTTCCCGAACTTGCGCGTGTTGGTGTTGGCACACAACCAAATAAGTTCTCTGTCACCTGCTCGATGGAACATGGGAGACCCGCGAGGTCAAATAATCCTACCAGGAGAAAGCGGCGCGCTGTTATGGTCAAGCTTTTCTCATTCTCACTAACATTAGTGGTAGAAGTAAGTAGAACAATACTTCTTGACTGGGACTATCTTGCCGATGAATCGTCGCTCTCTTCCACTAAAAAATATGAGTAAGTCTTTCCACGTGCCGTCGTGGATGAAGTACTTACGACACCAGCTATTCATCTCTCTGCTTCTTAATAACTTACATCCTCCTTGAGCTTCTTTTTAGGTTTAACATCTAACCCTAGAAAGCACTGACGAGCTGCAGGAATTTCACGCATCGCGGAATAACTTTCGAGGATGTCTCAGTAAGCCTGGAACGGCTTCTGCTACGTTTGTGAACACAGCAGTTAGCAATGCACTACGTGCTAGTCGACCTGCGAGTTCTAGCAGTGCTGTCAGTTGCCAAGGTGGTTCACTTCTGGCGGGCCAATTCTTATGCTTGGGGAATGTGCAGCTCCTGGCACTGCCACAGCGCTTAAAACTACAACTGCAATCATCGTGAACCTCTACATGAGCGCTTCACTCATGACTACATGACTATGTTGTGCGAAATAACTATAACAGCACGATCATGAACAAGATGAGGACGAGCCAGTACTTAGCCAAACGAAGTGCTGCTACAACTCTAATGCTTCTTAGCTGTTTGACTGAGACTGTACAGGTTTAGCTTTTCCATAGATTGATCGTATTCTTTCATCTAATTTTTCCCATAGCACAGTCAGGCAGCAGTTTTGGAGATTCGCCTGCTCTCCCCTTTAGCGGACCTGGAGAGCACTCGCCGGTGATTTCCCAGCTGAACGTGTCCGGAGATGGTCTTTGTTCACGTCTAGGAACTGCAGCGTCAACGGTTCGACCTCGTGGCTTAGATGAGTTCGTCACGTCGTCTATCGAAGCGGCTAAAGTTAAGACATTCACGACCATGTATTCCGTTTCTGTGGGCGTGTCTGTGGACTAGTAATATGCTGACTGTCTTGCAGCTCCAATTCCCTCTTATTTCAAGTTGTTTTTTGATGGGCAGCATCCATTCCGGTTTACCCTGATATTTATATTTTGAAAGGGAAAAATGATATTTTGAAGGCGAAGAATTCCGATTCAGCCATATTTTTTCACGAGGATTTTTCACTTACATTTAGAGGAGAAGAAAGGGTGAAAGCCACTCAATCAAGGATAGTGAAGAACTGCCTCTAATAGAGACTATGGCGCGTGGCTACAGCAGACTGGCGATGCCGAGAAGGACCGAGCGCCATTTCGACACCTGAAAAAGCTGAAGGCGCTCGTCTTGAACCACAACAAAATCCGGCACACTGATGCGTACATTAAGAGCAGAAGTTGCAACTTGTGAACTGAGCTATTATTTACGCCGATCTAGTAAGTATGACTGAGTGGTCAACTTTTTGTTCATGTTCCTGAAAGATATACAGATAAGCTACGCCATAGTCAAGTCATAGATGGCGATAAGCTCCTTTTTGATCAAGATAAGTTACTAAGTCACAAGTTACCGCCTCTAATCCTCGTTTCGTCGGTCCAGAGGAGCTGCAAGAGTTGCATTTGACGCATAACCGGATTCAAATGCTTGATCCCTTTGGCAGTTGCATCAAATTGAAAGTGTTGAGACTCGACTTCAATCGCGTAGCTGCTTTGGAAGCGGTTCCTGCACTAGTCCCAAGAAGAAAAGTGGGGGTGCAGAACAAAGAAACGCTTACGAGCAGAAGAAAGCGGAAGGTCGACATCGAAGAGTTTCTGGAAAGTGAGATCCATACTATTTCATTGGCACGAAATCCAATATTAAGGCTAAGTGGTACAAAAAATCCATTGTAGCTGTCTGTTACAGAACAGTTACAGTGTAACTACCGAAAAACTTACTAGCATACCGTCTTGGTGTTGCTTTTTATTCTTTTTAAAGTGGATATCCCTATCCAATTCCAAACCTCAACCTAAACCTTGTATGTTTAAACGGAATAGAAGATGGGATGCCCTCCCTCCTTCTGAAAATGGATTTCTCTTAGATCATCTAAGAATAGCGCGTAAACCGTTCTATCGCTTTGGGCTTTGCCAGAACTTGCCGCGTGTGCTCTTGATCGACGGAAAGCGTGTGACGCAGGAGGATAGGTTAGGCTATTCCCTCAAGGACAACGGAAAGCAGCACTCGAACGTCCTCAAACTAGCAGCGACGGAAATCCAAAGACGAGAGAATAGTAAGCGTGGCGGAGGTTCTTATCTTAAGGCTTAACGCCATGATGTGGTATATCAGAAAGGAAGCTCCTTTACTACAAGATCTACCTGAAAAGCTTCTACAGAGTCTATCGTCGTCGTCCACATCATTTCTACAACGTTTGCTTTTAGATTTCTTTTATTCAAGCAAGTTACTAGAAAGAAATTTATTTGTGATAGAAGATAAACATACGAGGTGAAGCAAGAATTACAATTATCTAATATGGTGACCTAGATTTCTGTCTCTTTCTCTAATTATGCAGATGCAACAAGTGCTGGTGCAGCAGCTGGAGCAGATGCAGCAGTCTCTACGCATTTCGGAGGGCCTTTAGGAGGTGGGATCGCGGGAGCAGAATTACTAACTTCCTCACCATTAACAAAGGAGCAGTTCTTAGATCTGGCAATGCTGGCTCAGGGAGTAACAATTAGGGGCAATATTTATTTCTACTTCATTATTGTCACACTCCCTCGCGTCATGTTTGTAGCGAAGTCAGTGGTCGTACTAGTAGTGGCAGGTCTATCAATCCGAATAGTCGACCAGGTCATCAACATCGTGGGCAAACACTATGCTGAGATGAAGTTGTCGTAGATTCCTCCTTTCTTTCCTCTCTTATTTGAAGAAGTAAGGGCGACTCTGAGTCTGACTTTGAGTTCTTTAACGAGTGCCAGTATCTCTGGTGAAAATATAAAAGGGAATTCACTCTACTAAGTAAATATAATGAGAGACTGATAGATACTATTACTTCTACTAGTACAACATAAAAGTGATCTGAGATTAGTTAGTGATGTCTGATCTAACACAAGTGCAGCAAGTTTGGCGATGCAGGAGACAAAAGGAAAACTGATACAACAAGTAGTGGAACAGAGAGCAGAGAAAATGGCAACGGCTTCTACATCTGCCCACCAGCAGGTCGCTTCTTCTAGCACTGGCAGTGGTCCTGCTACAGCTTTCACGCCATTACCCCAGCCCCCGACAATGATTTCAGCCGGAGCCGGTGCGGCAGTGTCAGGCGGAGGGCCCGCCGCATTGTTAAATATGGTCACAGATGGAGCACTTACAATACAGTTTGAACATCTTTTCGAAAAGCAGCAAGAGTATTGTATGCATATAGAAATAGAACAAGAATAATGTTGTATTCGTGTTATCGTAGAAGTAGGGTTCTTATTGCCCTAAGTCATTCTAGACTTATGAACCTAAAGCACTTATGTATACATAGTTTGAAGATTGATGAGCAGCAGCGTGGTGCAACCAGATGTACAGATGCAGAAAACTCCTGTTTCTCCACCTCCTTCATAGTAGAGCAGACACCGAAAGACACACGGTTATTGATGGATCGCCTGTTAGACCACAAATTGATGCCCACATCTCAAGGACCTTTTGGAGGAGAGCAGGAAGAAGCGCAGCCTTATGTTATGGCTAAGAACACCAATACTAAGTAGTCACGTCTTTTGCCTCAGTGCGTCGCCGGATTAGTTGGTATATCTTCGTTGATGTAGATGTGGGGTGACGTACTCTTCAAGAAGGATACACACTATTGCGAACGCGATTGATGTAGGGTGGATCCTTGAAGCATGTGCTTATGCATAATACTAGAGATATTGCGTTCTTGTATGATCATTAATTTTTATTTTATTGCGGGGTGTATCGGTATTCTCGTCTTGTGATTATTTCATTCAATCCCGGAAACGGAACAATTATGGAAAAATATGCTGGTTGTGGCACTTCTGAGCTCTAACAAGGTAGATCCCGTTTTCGTGCGGCACCAGAAAAGCGTTGGCGGTCATTATCAAGTGACCAAAATTAAGGCTAGATTTGAGTGGATGAGAGAGAGAATCGATCCTACGTACAGAAAAGTGTGTGAGTTGTACTAAGGTGATGTCTGTCCTAGGAGAGGGCTGTATGGATTTTTCAATGGAAGTATCCTCTTGATGCCCGTCCCCACCACGCGCCCAGAATGATTGAAGAGGAGATGAACAACATTTCAACTTGAGACTCTTCCTAGCCTCTATCATGATGGATAACTACTGCTAGGACAAATACCTCTACACCTGCTCGACTAGTTGTGCCGATATGTACCGCTAACAATTACAGCTCAACATCGCTCACGACGTCGCATCAGCATACGCCTGGATCGCATCAGCATACGCCTGGACCGCATAACCTTTTGAATGCTAGCGCAACTCCAGGAAGCACATCGGTTTTGGGAAACAGCAGCATCGCCTCTCCGAAGTTGAAGTTAAGTCTTCCGTGAATTCATGGTCATTGAGTAGGAATTATCGCTGAAGGCAGATGACTTTATCGACTTCTCATCGGGTTGCTTTATGAGTTACAGTCACCCCACATACACTCACTAGAGCTAGAGCTAGGGGCCTATTCTTGCTCTTATAAGCATTCTTTTAACAAGGGAAAACGAAAACAAAGTTGACGTCAGCGAGATCAGTTACTTCAAGAACTCAAAGATACTTTTACTTAGTTTTCAAGATGGTCTAAGAAGCGGCGGCGTGGTGAAAACGCGGAAACAAGGGTACGCGTCGCCTCCGAAGCTGGGATCATTGAGCCCGCATAAAAGAAGATAGAACATCAAAATGATTACAGAAGAACAAGGGTCGTTGTCGTCAAAGGAGCACGCAAGATCAGATGGAGAAGAAAAAGCCCAATCTAACAAGGAAAAAGAACACTGTTGGGGAACACATGGAGGTAGTAGCACGAGCGCGAACGGCGAAGGGTGCGAAGAGCAGGGAAAGAAAGTAGGTTCTAAATGTGCATTATGCAAGAAGAGTTAGGTATTGACTCTCTCTTAGTCTTAGCAGATTTCTAATTCTGGTTCCACTAATGCTACTCAATTATCAATCATTCAATTTCTCAGCTGCGCAGTATCGCTGTCGTGGTTACATTCCTCAGGTTGAAGGAATAAGTAGAAAGATGCTACTGGTACTAGTTTTAGATTTATATCTGGAGCTGCTCTCACCCTCACAACATTCAGAGCCACGCTCGTCTAGCTCTTGTCTAGATGTCTCACGTATGGAGGAGGATTTGCTTTGGCGTCGATGCGTCAATTTAGATTATTTAGATTTCTCCTTAGCAGGGACGAGAGCGGGAGCACTAGTAGTTCCAATTGTTCAATGGATTATTTACGTTGCTCATTTCGGATTCCACTTCGAGAATAGCAATACTTCTTACCAGATTTAGATAATTTAGATTATTTAGATAATACTGACGAGCGCCAGGACTTCTCAAGTTTTACGTCTTCTAGCTACCTAGATGAAAAAGGACTAAAGACACGTACAGCTGGTAGTGGAGATTTGCCTTTATTGAGTCTCGCGATGAACTTACGGCCCGACGACATCGACAGTAACCACAATTAATATCAGATGATGGCGATTGCTGATGCAGAAGTTTTAATATCACTCAGTTGCAGATCTATACGTAAAAGAAGACAGGAGCAGGAACATGAACAAAGAATATACCATCAGAGCTGGTATATCAGAAGCAGTTCACTCGCACCAGGGGTAGCATTCCGACTTGCCAGAACTGATCGCCGGGTGATGGACATGGACGCGAAGACTCAGCATTCTGACATCTAAACTCGTCGGTTCTTGACACAGCGGGTCGGTTTGTGTTCCTTCTTGAGTTGGATTGAGAGTCTAGGATCTTCAAGAAGAAACCGATCGACAACATATGATCAACTGATAGTGATTTCCATCTGGAGCTGGACTCACATTCAGTTTCAGAGCCACGCTCTAGCGCTTGTCCAGATGTCTCACGTATGGTGGGTAGTAGAGTGTAGCATTTGCTTTTGCGTCGATGCATTAATTTAAATTATTGAGATTTCTCCTTATCAGGGACGAGGGCGGGAGTACTAGTAGTTCGAACTGTTCAATGGACTCTTTAGGTTCCTCAGTTCGGATTCCACTTCAAGAATAGCAACACTTCTCACTAGATTTAGAAAATTTAGATTATGGTCTTCTCAAGTTTTACGTCTAGTGATTTTCGCACTCATTTCTCTTAGTAACGATTTTTATGGGTGGTATACGTATCAGATTCAACCGCTACCTAGAAAAAGTACTACGTAGACGTAGAGCTGGTAGTTGTGGAGACTTGGGTTTATCGCGTCCCGCGATGAACTTACCCTCCGAGGACAATAACCACAATTAATATCAGATGATGGCGATTGCTCCTGACGCAGGAGTTTCAATATTACTCAGTTGCAGATAGAATAACTTGTATTTATAGAACGGATGTAGGATGGACTTGGATTTCGGAGGGACCTACCGAAGTCCTTGGGTCTTACTTGAAATGCTTAGCGAAGCGGGGAAGTCCATCCGTTCCATCCCATCCTGGATCGGGCACCCCTATAGATTGTTCTAGTATACGCAACAGACAGAAACAGGAGGAACAAAGAAGATACCACTACAACCAGCAAAATGGCAAAGCAGAACGAGCAGTCGCTCGCGCCAGAGGTAGCCAGAACTGAGCGCTCGCCGAGTCATGGACATGGCTGATAGAGACAAGGTGTGAAAACTCACCATACCGAAATCTAAATTGGTCGGTTCTTGACACAACGGGTCGGTTTGTATTCCTTCTTGAGTTGGATTGGGAGTCTAGGATCTTCAAGAAGAAAGGGATCAACATATGAGCAACTGATACTGAAGAAATCAACAAATGGGGACCATCCTCTGAGAATATTAGATATGAGAGGTCGATGCCTGGAGCGCAACGGTCTTACACGATTGCTTGATCGAGCAGTGGTGTTCTCACGAGGATTGTCGAAGAAGAATGCGGCTTAGAAGCTCCTTTAAGCTGCTGGCAAGCGAGGCGATACTTGAAAAACGCATTCGATACCACTCACACCCTTACGGACTGCTCCACTGATCCATCCTCAAAGTTTCCTTGTAGCATAATGCTCGCGTGTGAGAGCATGCATTCTACACAGATGCACAACAAAGAGGATGGAAAGTGGAGCATTGTTATCTGCTCTCGAGGCCGCTGAAGGACGAGCGGAATCTGGTGCATATAACCTCTACTTCGTTTGTCTAAAGACAAAAGAAGCGATCTTCTGCAGGTTGCCACTACTAGTAAAAGAAGGCGTAGCTGCTGTTAGGACTGGTAGTAGCACTTCCTTTACTGCCTGACTTTGTCAATACCCAAAGGAAAAATAGATCATAGCAGAAGGAGAAGTAGAACACGTACAAGGGCAAGTGCAAGTTAGTACTAGGTCTAGGACTACTCACTATTGCAGTGTAATAGTAACAAGAGCTTACAACTGCAACGCAAAAAGATGGTCAACAGTCGCAAACTTCGCGCACTCGTCCTCGCCGGCTCATTGGCCGAGGCCGAGCGAGTCCGTGCCATGCATGTTGAGGATGATGGAGCGGCAGCGCGTCCGCATAAGCTCCAGCGCAAAAAAGGCGACCACCCATCCAAATCCATCCATCCATCTGGTGGAGATGACTCCGACGCGAAGAACGCTTTTTTAGAGGTGTCCCTGGACGTTAGTCTCCAGAAAATCCGACAAAAAGGAGAAAAAAGGGCGGAGGAGACCGAGGTCGAGCAGTTAACAATCACTTAATTAATTTGCACATTGATTTTGATTTTGTCTTCATATTCTTTCGATGCGATTGGTTCGTCGTATCATGTTTTTTCTTTGAATTCGAAAGATGCGTCTGATATTGTCTGAGTTTTGACACGCTAGTCGACAAACTCTACCGCTTTCTACCTCCTCTCTCACTTCCTTGTACAGGAGAAATCTCGTCAACAACAACAGGTGACACCGATGGAGCGTTTGCTGAACGATCTCCGCGAGACTCTAACGCAGAAGCGTCAAACGTTGGGCAGAATGATAGCGATTGGATCAACGGCAAGAGGCTCAAGGATCTCAGTCATGAGGCCAAGCAAATCGCAGCCACTTGGCTCCGCTCACATGGCCACTGGATCAGAATCACACCCAGGAGAAAGCCCACTCCGCTAAGATCATCATCAGGGGGATCAGGATGGGAGTCGAATGGCCCAAGGGGTCGGAATCAATACCGAGGCCCCTAGCGTAGCGAGTAGCCCGACACCCATGAACCTGAAGAGGCACGCCCTGGAACTGCGTGAGAATCGTCAAGCTGGACGGACTTGCCCCAGCCTTCGCAGGGATAGCGAAGGGGATGCTGGTCCTGTTAGCAATGTCCACCGACTGAATACCGACCAAACATTTACACCACTAGAATGAACACACTGGAAACCACTACCACACGCATGCAAGCCAGGGAAATTACTCGGGTCACTATTACCAGCCTGCGGGTGAGAAAGATGACACGGCTACCACTAGGATACGCATGAAGGTGGTGACAACTACTAGGATGATGATTATGATGAAACTACTCGGGGAACCTGGGAACCGTTGGGACCTTGGTGCGGTTTGTCATTCTGGTGGGGATCTTCATACCATGGGAGGAACATATGAAGGACCAGGAACATAGGCGGGAACGACTGAAATCAGAACCAGCAACATAGGGACTGGGGTGGGTCCTTATGGTGATTCGTCACAGACTCGATCTGGGTCGTGGTTGGTCTTGATCTTGCCTACATTCCCCCTCCCAAAGTAAGGACCACGCCACCACACAAAACTACACGCGCCAAGTGTTACGCACGACTCTCGATCACAACTTCGAGAAAGTGACAAAATGCGCTCTGGCTACGGACCTCAGCTTTTCGTCGTCTTGCGCACGAAGCAAATAGCTGTAGATATTTGACACTACTCAGACCTTTCGTGAGAGGGTCTGCTCGGTTCAAGTCCGTTGGACAATAACGCAGGTTCTTGACATGGTCGCGGACTGCGTGATGCCGAAGATCGACGTGCTTCGTTCGATCGCTTCGTCGTTACTGTCGACTTACTGAGACCTAGAGCAGACTGACTATCCACGAACACAAGCGGAACACCTCCTGAGCCTTCTGTCTCTAGATACCAATCAAGAAAGCCCCGGACCGTACACATCTTGATAGTGTCATATACAGCGACATACTCAGCCTCGCAGGTGCCATGTGCTCTGACTGTTTGTCGCTTGACGGACCACGCAGCGGGAACCCCGCGAAAGTACAAGATGCTACCACGCACTGGTTGACTTCAGGGCTACTGTACAACCAGCAAAGTCAGAATCGCTGGACGCAACTGACTTGCCTACCTCTTTACCAGCTTCTGCTGCTACCTTTCTGTATACTTTTTTGAAACCAGTCTCGATCTCGGGGGAGTATTCGAGACCTACGTCTTTTGTACCTTTTAAGTATTGAAGAATGCGCTTTGCTCGCTTCTTCGTGTTCTCAGTGGGGTTAGCCACTTCACGGGCCACGCGTTGCGCTGCGAATACTATGCCCACTCTACACAGGGTTGCGATATACATCAAACCTCCGACCAGACTACGCAGCGGGAAGTCGCCAGTCGTAGGGGTATCGGATTCAGGACTGTACAACACGGGCGAGGACACAGCTCGGCACTCGGTCATGTCTGACACTGGTTGCGGCTCGACGCTGGTTGATCTTGGTCTTGCCTACAGTTCCCGACTTGCCTCATCGTCTGAGGGTCTAGGCTTCTAGGGTTTTCAGCGCTCTAACGTTCTGCGCCTTTCTTTAGGCCATAAGCGCCAGGGAGTTAGTACAGGTGGCCGCTGTCTCTCTCATCAGTTTGCGTGGCGGCCTGAACAGTTAGCGTCTTCGCTGACTTTTTGGGGCTTCGAAATGAGCGCAGAAGAGGAAAGCGCGACACGCTTCGAGGAATGCGCGGGCACAGTAGTTAGTAAAGCTTTGCCGCGCTTCGGGGGTGGGACTTGCGTCGGGTTTCTGCTCTGCTGGAAGAAGCAAGCACGGGCGCCCACCTGGAAAAGAAGAGAAAGGCCGAGAGTGAAGGTTCTCGCGCTCGGTGCAGTGCGTGTGTCGAGTAAGCTAGGCACCTGAAAAAGATCAAGGGAGTAGCCTCGCCTGGGCGCTTTCTTGGGTGGCTCGCCGGCTTTTGCCGTGGCAGACAGAGGCGCGCGCCCCCTCCTCGGCGTGTCCCACCCTGCAGCTCTGGCTCCTTTGTGTCAAGACACAGCGCGCAGGCCAATACGCCAGCACTCGGCGTTCGTGTTGCATGCTGATGGTGGGCTCTCAGCTTTCGGGCATGGGCGCCGCCGGCTTTATTGAAGGGAAAGAGGCCGCGGCGGCTGAACTTTTTCGGAATAGAGAACGAAGGGAGCGAAAGGGGCCCGCGAGCTGTGTGGGGGTTGGTTCAGCGCCTTGCAGGACCTCAAAGGAGGCGAACAAGGGCGGGAAGCTGCTGCGCATGCAGTAGCCACCCCAAAGAAACAGGCGCAACCTTTGGGGGATAAACCTGCCCACAAGCGCAAGGGAAAAGGAAGGCGCAACTACCTGCACAGGAAGAAGATGGAGCAGGAAAGGACGGGGGGGGGCGCTTGCGCTGCAACAAGTGACAGGCCCATCTGTCTTGAAGTTGGGCCCGTCGGTCTAGGGTTTGGGCAAATGGCCCCAGTGCATAAGGTAAAGCTCCCAAGAGCTTGCGGGGGGGAAAAACTGAAGGAGAAAGCTGGGGCGAGGCTCGTCATTTTCGGCGTTGTAGTCTCTGCACAGGCTGGAGACCAACAGGGGGGGAAGGCGTTGACACGGTTCCCAGTGCTGACTCGACGAAGCTACACACTGGAGAGATATGAGGCGAGGGCACTGATTGACCGCCGAGCGGTGGGCAAATATTGCCGAGCCAACGGGTGAAGGCCTAGAGCTGCACGGCATGAGGCAGATGGGGGACCTGGCTGGGGTGTGTGTGGTGGCGCTGGGCATGGAAGAAGTGCGCCGCGCTTCCCCGCTAGGGCAGCTGAAGGAGGTGGGAACGACTGAAAGCGCAGCGGCGTGAAAGCTGACGGAAAAAAGACGGATGGCCTGTCCACGACGATGACAGTGGACCCGGGCCGCCGCTTGGATTTTGCTCGGCCAGACAGTCGGGTCGCTGCCACCCCCCGCGCCCACATGCAGCGCCATGGCTTGAGGACTGCCTGACCCCTACGCACAGGCCGCGCGCCTGTCAGCATTGACCGCGCGGCGGATCTGGGTCGAACTCTGCAAAGTGGCCCCAGGTGTTAGAGGGTGGGCCTGTGTCCAGAGTCTCGGCTATTGTGCTTCCTTGGTTTCTGCCACTCGACCCGCCTCTACTTCGCAGATGAGGGCCAGGGGCTGAGCAGTTCAGACAGCCAACTCGAGGGACCTCGCCAAAACTTCCCTTGTCACGGCGTGCGGTGAAGTTTCCGCGCCATGTTTTTTCTGTGTCATAAGTTTCTTCTTCTTGACAGCGGTAGGCCCTAGCTTCGGGCCAGCCTGCGACAGTGCAGCGGGTGGCGCTCTTCCTCTTCAGAGTCAAGATGTACGACTATGATCAAAAACTTTCAAATTTTTCAACATGATGGGGGGCTCTCGGTCTCGGGCAGCTCTTTCACATGCGTAACAATTTTCAGCCTCCTCGCCCACCTGCGGGATTTTTATCTCCGAACAGAAGCGAGCAGAACCGTGACCATATCACAGCTGCAGCATGTATCTCCGCACCCTTATCGGCGTGCCGTTTTTCAGCAAGCGCCTCCGACTTTCAAGCACTACGCATGACGAGAATCATTAGCGAGCAGGCTAAGTAATAGCTAGAAGCGTCGCGCTGGTCTCTTTGTCGAGGGTGGCGCAGTGGTCTTTCGTGACAGTGTCACGGCCACCAGCATCAGAGGCAACGCCTTCGGCTTTCTCAGCTAGCTTGTGGCCGTGTTTTATTGCTTTGTTTGGCGGCTTTTCAGCTCCTGACTTGCTTCGGCTTTGGACATCGCTGGCGCCTGGGGGTTGGTGTCACGTTGTGGCGCCTGGTGGCGCTCCTCTTTTGTCTGGAGTCGAAGCGGCTGCGCGGCTTCTCGTATTTTTTCAAAACATTTCTGGCGCATTGCCCTCGGGTAGTGTTGTCACATTTGAAATTTTCAAGACTTCTTTGCGGTCTTTTGGAGCCCATTCAAGACAAGCGTGCGGGCTACTGCGTGCTCGGACTTCAGAGGGGGCCCCTTCCCTTCGCGGACCTTCTTGCCCCGTGCTCGCAAAGAGCTAACATCTTTGGGCAATCAGTCAACGCGTAGGGCATCTTTTTCAAACGCAACCAGCACGCCGCCGGGTGCTGGCTCTTCATAGATTTGCGTCGCCTTGGCGCAACTTCTGGCGACAGGTGTGCACTCGGCATGCTATAGGTGGTGGCATGCTGTGCCTTTCGATCGTTATGGGCTCGCAGCGTCGCGGCTTCTTTGCTGCGATGGTGCTCTGGGTGAGCTGTCTTCCTATATATCAGAGGGCGAGCCGATTTTTGTCCCCAGCATGGTCAGGCCTGTCCTGGGTGGCTAGGTTGCAGCGGGGACTCTTATTCCGGTCGGGCAGACATCTTGTGGGGCAATGGGTCTAGTTGGTGAATTTATCGCAGCGGCCCGAGATCTGACGTGAGCGCTTCTCTTTGAGGCCATTGCCATTGCGGCCCCGTCGCTTTGCTAGAGGTTGCCCGGCTTGGCACCATTTGACGGATGGGCGTGTATTGTCATCCGCTTCGGCCAGAAAAGGTGGGCATGGTGATCTACCTTACCACGCCGCTCGCTGGTTTGGGTTGGTTTTGAGATTTGCATGAGTCGCCTCATCGTAAAAACCGCCCCCGCGATTGAAGCGCGTGCGGCGCATTCAGGCGACCGACGACTTTCGCGAAGCAGTGGCACTTGGGACGGCATCGGCAGAATTGTTGTCGCAGTTAGTGGGTATGCTTAGCCCTGCTGCCTTTGTCGTTCGGATGGGCCGCGTGTTTCTGCGTTCGGCTTACGACGCGACTAGCGAAGCGAACCCATCGGGCGCCCTGGGGCATTGGCAGAAAGGTCGGCGGCCCGCGGTGTTAGAAATGTGGCCTGGAGTGGTGGCGTGAGATGTTTGAGAACGGTCCAGGGGCGCCGACTCATGTCGCGAAGTCGGGGGCTGCGGGCGTTCCTCTTTGCCTCGGGCCTCTTTCCCTTGACAGCCGACGGACCTCGCTCCCTCTCGTAGGAGATTTAGGCGAAGGGGTTGGCGACTGGCGACGCGTCCGGCACCGGTTGGGGTGCGCAGTTAGATGGCGACAGAATGGAGCTCGCAGGTCGGTCCACCCTTTTCGGCCTTTCGCAGGTGCCCTCGAACATGAGGGGAATCGTGCTCATTTGCGCGCCCCTTTCCATCCCGGCCGTGGCGGTCCAGCTGGGGCTGGGGCTTTTGCTGTATAGTATCGCACTGACAGCGCGACGGCGTGGCATTTTTGCGCGAACTTCGGAGGAGGGAACGGTGAGAGGCTTACGGCCATGGCTATGGGAATCTTGGTGGAAGTGTCTGGGCTTGGTTTTTCCTTAAAATCTCCTCCCACCTGGTGCGTCGCGCGCGCAACGTGATTGCGGACGTGTTGCCTCGCCTTTTGCTGACCTCCGTGCTGCGTGACCCGTGTCCGGCTAAGATTTTGCACGGGCGTGGGGCTAACTAACTTCATTAGGCAGGTTTAGAACTATACCAGTGCCCTTCGTGCTAATGGAGTTACGGCTCAAGCAGTGTCCATGGCGTGGCTTCTGTGTTCTCCTCGTCGTCGCTGGTGGAAGCGGGTGAGTGGGAAAGTCCACTAACTCGCTGCTCGCCAGCTGACTTGGGCCATGAGCCAAAAACAGCGAAGTGCCACCCTTCCCACCCTTGATTAGTTTTCGTTCCGTAATCCGTTGGTCTGCTAGATAGTTCTGAGGTGAGTTGACCAACTGTTGTTGTGTTTGACCGGAGCTTGGTGGTGTGGGATGTGTATTCATGACGATCACAACTGCACCCTCCGAAGCGATGACCTTGGCTTCGTCGGGCGCTTCCCTTTTGCGGGTCTCTCCCGTCCTATCCGGGGCACTTCAAGAGCCATCTCGCCAAAGGGCTTGAGTCTAACTTCATGTAGATGCGCAGGCCCGAGACGTGCGACAACAGGACCAAAACGTGCGACAATTTGAGAGCCTTCTCGAATCCGTACGGGTTGAGTCGAGTGGCGTGGCGAATCGATTGCGACCGATAATTAAGAACGACGAGAATGAGAATGTACAGAAATTATCCAAACTTTTCTGGATCTGGAACTGGAATTAGGTGCAGGAGTGTATAGTTATCTCTTCGCATCTCAACAATCTTCACCAATACCAAACTAGGTTATGTTGGCGGCGTTGAACTTTTACGATATTTTATTGATGGCGGTGCTGGAGGTGGCGGCGGATGGTTGGCTGGAGAACATGGAGGCCTTGAGGTGTAGTTTCTCTTCCTTTGGAGGCACTTCTGCTGCAGCATCATTAATCATGCGCGCGCTCCCTGCCAGCGCGAAAGATACGAAGAAGCTTCGCACTCTCCCAAAAGAGATCCTAGATACGTTGATTTTGGAAGCAGTTGCGCGAACTAACGAGTACTTCTTCTTTTCCTTACTTTGTGAACGCAAGAATCTTAACGAAGATGAGAGTAAGATATCACAAGGATTACCACGGACCCTTTTTTAATCATTCAGCCTCAAGAACCCCTTTTTCTGCATGAGATTGTAGCTGCCTTCTCTATCACTGGACACTGTGTACGTCCGACGAAAATCCTTACTCTCAGGATTCAAGATATGCTGGTCAGCTGGACGGCGGATGATGAGAAGGTGGCTATCATGGGGAAGGTACTGTTTGACACAACGCAAAACTCGGAAAGCGTGTTCTACGGGAACACGAGCCTCCAAGAGCTGCTCACGACTAGAACTAAATCTACTTATGATGGCGAGACAGGGAAGGTATACGCATACGCGGGCGACACGGATGGTTCTGATTCGTTATCGCAGAGGTTGTCGAAGTTCTGCAAAAAGTAAAGGTATTGCCGCCTTGCACATAGAATTATTGATCAGATCTATCCATTTGTGGTTGATGCAGTTTGTCGTATGTTTTCTCTTAGAATTTGCATTTATTTTATTTAGTTTGCTCCAACAAAAAGAAAAAATCTTCACTTCTTTTGTCCCCCTCCTGAAACGATCATCAATGATCTCGCTCCCTACTACTTGCATCAGGTGGAAGCGGCTCGTGGAGATGTGCAGAACCCCATGAACTTCGTTGGAAATATGTTGGCTGAACTGAGTCAGCTTCAGAAGGTGAAATCGCTTGTGGCTGAGCTCACGCAGCTGCAGGTGGATATGCTGTTGGAGACGGAAATATGACTTGATGAAAACTAGAGGGATTAGTCGCAGATGGTTTCTTGCGCATCCTCGAAAAAAAAACTCGTTAATGGTTTCTTACTCTGAGGAATATAAAAATGAACGATTTTATTTTGAAAATGGGTTCATACGTTAGGGGATGTCCAACATTTTTTTTTGTGTACAACTTTGATAATGACTATGTTTTTACACTTACACCACAAAGAAACACCTCACACTACGTACGGCTATATTGATCACTTCTAAAGCTAAACTCATTGACGAAGAAGAGGAATTGTAGATGAGTCCGACTGCACTGCTAGTAATAGTATCCTCCTTATTTCTATTTGTTGACCACTATCGCTTCTTGCAACATGCAGTAAGTTTTGATAGTTTTGCTCCCATGAGGATGCCCAAGAAACATTGGAAAGATTTAGACATTTTAGAGTGTACTAGGTCTAGGACTAGGTCACCTACTATCATCTATGGGTCATTAACTGAGTCACGATATAGCCCTTTTTGCAGAGAAAGCAAATTTTTTCAGGCTGATACGCGTCAGAATTACTTTCCAAAAAACGAAGAGATTTATAGACTTAGAATGCTCAACATGGACATGATCTGTAGCCTTATCGAGAAATCTAAAGAATCTAAATGTTCATTTGTCTTTCGTGAGACAACGTGATGAATTTTTTTCGAAACAAACCACCGAGACCCAGTTCGATCATCAGGATCAAGCTGCTGCGTTTCGGCTAGATTTTTTAACTTATCGCAATTATGATGGTCGAAGTGTAAGGGCCTACAGCCTTCCAGATATTACGCCCCTGGCAGGCTTGTCCCTGTTGTTGTGGTGGTGGTGTTACCGAGTAACATCCACAACCTAAATAGCATGCATTTTCATGCTGTTCGTATGCTGATGGTGGTAAGTTAATCAAAGGCCATCCATCATCATCATCCTGAGGGGTTTCAGTGCATAAGGATCCCGGTCGCTATGATCTTCACACGATTAGACTCATAGCCTTGAGCCTGTTGCAATCATATCACTCAACGAGAACACTCAGAAGGAGAAAGACGAACGCAAGCGGAGAACCAACAGACCAAGAGAGAAGAACCAAACGACTCAACTCAGGGAATGCGGAACACCGAGCGACTTGGTTGGACCTTGATCTTCATGCGTAACATTCTCCCCCCGAAGTGTCTCCGTTGACGGACTTATTTACTTTTTTAGTTGCAAGAAAAAAAATTTTAGTACCACTAGGGGGACTAAGCGACCGGAATTCGTTATTTTGGGGTTGGGAAGCGAAACTATACCAACCTAATGCAAGACTTTATATATGTGCAGGATACGAATGCAAAAAAAACAACGACTAGTCTAAGCTAGTTCTTCTTTTTCTTCTTCTAGTAGACTTTTCTACTAGTTTCCTCCTCTTTTCTTCTCGTTTCTCCTTTGTCCAGGTAATCCATGTCACCACGGGATTGAACTGGACTCGTTTTGTTGTGCTGCTCCTCACCGGCGTCCCCGCTTGTCGCCACGAACCTGAAAAGTGTGA